TCGTCCTAGTTTTATAGATTTAAAGACCGTATTATGGTTTTGATGTCGCTTCGGTATCACTCGTTGTTTTTATATTCAAAGTCATTAGAACCGAGGAAGAGATGTATAGATCTACATCAAATTAGGCCTGCTTTATCCTGTATAATTTAGATGACACCTCTAATACATCATCTAATACATCATCCGATACATCAGCTTAATATTGCTATTCTGTGGACGGAAACAGTGCATATATAAACAAAATCCCACTGCATTGTATAGCCTTACGTTTGCACATGTGCTAATTTCATCGAGTTATTACTGAATCTTTGCAGACAAATCTCATAAAAGCACAAGCCAAAAGAAAAATCCATTGTTAATATTTTTACTTAAAAGACAATCAAAAGTATACATTTTTCTTTCGTCGTGTTTCTTTTTCGTTGAATTTAGTCAATGCCCTCTCTACAATACAGCATACGTGTTTTATTTCATCTTTGGCAGATTCACACGTTTTGACTTACATAAACCTAAATGGGTTAGTTATGAAGAGAAATATTAATTCAGCATATTTTTGTTATTCGCGTGTAATTATTTATGATATTATAAAATACGTTTTCTTATAATACCTGCAAGTATATGTTAATAGGGTCATTCAATAAATTATGTCATCACACAGCTCTCGTACGAACGGGCAATATGATAGTTTAAGCGCTTTAACAGAATGCAAAAGCATTTCAAGAACAGTTTCGACATCATCTGACAAGAACTTAACAAATTGTTCATTCTTGAATGGTATGCAATCGTGACTTGAAGCTACTTTTCAATGCTTACTTAGTAAATGAACGTTGAGACTATATCTGAAATACGCTCCTACATCAAAGCACGGTATGCTTTACAGAATCGTGCAGCATAAAAGGCATCTCTGCCGTCACATTGAGAATCGCTTCGTGTGGGTGAACAAATTTAAGAATTTGGAAAGTTGACACGAAAAAGGACACACGGCCAGGCAGGCAAGTTCCTGCAGCATCGAGGAACGTTGCTGCTGAAAAAGCAGTCATTAATTGTTTTTAAAAAAGCTCATATCGTTGGCTTGTCAGAAGGCAGTGCACATCACTTTCTTATTAAGTGCTTGAAATCAACGAAACTCTGTGCCCGAGCGATCTCCCATTTGCTGACACCTGAACAAACAGCCAAACGTTTGAAATGTGTTAAAATACACTGAAAAAAACCCTGTCTGAGTTACCTACATAGGAAGAGCCCTGTCTGAGTTACCTACAGAGGAAGAGCCCTGTCTGAGTTACCTACAGAGGAAGAGCCCTGTCTGAGTTACCTACAGAGGAAGAGCCCTGTCTGAGTTACCTACAGAGGAAGAGCCCTGTCTGAGTTACCTACAGAGGAAGAGCCCTGTCTGAGTTACCTACAGAGGAAGAGCCCTGTCTGAGTTACCTACAGAGGAAGAGCCCTGTCTGAGTTACCTACATAGGAAGAGCCCTGTCTGAGTTACCTACAGAGGAAGAGCCCTGTCTGAGTTACCTACAGAGGAAGAGCCCTGTCTGAGTTACCTACAGAGGAAGAGCCCTGTCTGAGTTACCTACAGAGGAAGAGCCCTGTCTGAGTTACCTACAGAGGAAGAGCCCTGTCTGAGTTACCTACAGAGGAAGAGCCCTGTCTGAGTTACCTACAGAGGAAGAGCCCTGTCTGAGTTACCTACAGAGGAAGAGCCCTGTCTGAGTTACCTACAGAGGAAGAGCCCTGTCTGAGTTACCTACAGAGGAAGAGCCCTGTCTGAGTTACCTACAGAGGAAGAGCCCTGTCTGAGTTACCTACAGAGGAAGAGCCCTGTCTGAGTTACCTACAGAGGAAGAGCCCTGTCTGAGTTACCTACAGAGGAAGAGCCCTGTCTGAGTTACCTACAGAGGAAGAGCCCTGTCTGAGTTACCTACAGAGGAAGAGCCCTGTCTGAGTTACCTACAGAGGAAGAGCCCTGTCTGAGTTACCTACAGAGGAAGAGCCCTGTCTGAGTTACCTACAGAGGAAGAGCCCTGTCTGAGTTACCTACAGAGGAAGAGCCCTGTCTGAGTTACCTACAGAGGAAGAGCCCTGTCTGAGTTACCTACAGAGGAAGAGCCCTGTCTGAGTTACCTACAGAGGAAGAGCCCTGTCTGAGTTACCTACAGAGGAAGAGCCCTGTCTGAGTTACCTACAGAGGAAGAGCCCTGTCTGAGTTACCTACAGAGGAAGAGCCCTGTCTGAGTTACCTACAGAGGAAGAGCCCTGTCTGAGTTACCTACAGAGGAAGAGCCCTGTCTGAGTTACCTACAGAGGAAGAGCCCTGTCTGAGTTACCTACAGAGGAAGAGCCCTGTCTGAGTTACCTACAGAGGAAGAGCCCTGTCTGAGTTACCTACATAGGAAGAGCCCTGTCTGAGTTACCTACAGAGGATGAGTCCTGTCTGAGTTACCTACAGAGGATGAGTCCTGTGTATATTACTTTTAACCCCATAGGCACACATGCTAGGTTTACATTATGTTCCCGGCGGCCACGGCAGCCACGTTTGCCTTAAACGTAGTGCGCCGTGTGGTTTGGCAATTTTTTCTCTGTATTCAAGTTTTGTTATAAGGTCTTGCTAGAAGTTCATGTTTTGGTTATCTCGGTTCCAATCTGATAGGAGAGAATATCAACCGTTTAGTTGGTTTACGGCTGTATAGATCTATCATTTTACAACGTGGTCTATACATTTGCGAACTGTGGTTTCTTCTTTCCCGTGCGGATTGGAGTCGTTAAGAAAAGATCCAAAATCTATGTGTAAAATTGATTCAATGTTTTCCTTTACGTACTAGATCTAACATCTGTTTAGGAATGTTGGGTTTAACATCCCTTTCCGCAAGAGTAGATCAGTGTAAACTTGATATTTTAGGATCGTTATGCAATCTTATGCCATATTGTGCCATTAAGCAACTATTTTTATTGCGTTTATTACACAAGTATTATCATATTTACAAGAGTACCGATGGTGTAATTCCAAACGTATGGTCTATTTTACATAAGTATGGTCTACAAAATTATTTGTATGAATTTATTAAATCGAGTACATTCCCGAAGAAGGTTCAGTGGAAACAATTTGTTCAAAATCTGTTTTGAATAAGGAGGAGGAAAACTCGCTTGAATGCCATCAATGATTTCAGTCGTTTCAAAATTCTTCAAACTTCTCTAGTACCGTCGCCACTTTACTTTTTCTGGCGGTTTTTAAATGTTCGATATGGCTTACTTTGTCAGAAAATTGCAAAGTTATGGACAATTAGTCCGGGGGTTGTGAACTATTATGTTTAAAATGTAATTGTTATGCTGAAGATGCCTTAGCACGTTCTTGCATTGATTGTCGCCATCCCGATATTGTAGATCTACATGGTGTTTTCCTTACAAAAATTGTGAATCACTATCCAGTTGCTGTATATGTATATGTTGACACTTTAGAACGTGATTGTTTTATTACTACTTTGATAGGGACTGTTCCTTTAGAACTGCAAGAGTTGTTTACTAACGTAAAAGACCTAATATCGTTTAGATTGGACTGTTTCTCGTTTATTATTAAAGTGTCAGATTTAACATTTCAATAATGTTCGCTGCAATCCTGAACTTATCAGACTTATTCTACGTTGTTAAAAAGCTAAAAAAACACCAGGCCGAAGTAAATTACAAACACGGCACAGTTTTATAGTTTTGATTTGACATCTAAATCGAGTGTTTAATAAACACATATTTCAGATCATCAGGCCGAATAAAAGTACGAACACGACACATTTATTTAGATATATTTTTTATTACAAATCGAGAAATAAGCAAACACATATTTCAACAGACAGCCGAAGTTAATTACAAACACGGCACTGTTACATAGTTTAATTTTGATACATAAATCGAGTGTTTAAAACAAGTATTGCAGTTCATCAGGCCGAATAAAGGTACAAACAGTGTCATAGTTTTAGAAGTAAACAATTACGGTCGATGATCATTTCAATACAGTAGCCACACAACATCATCATATAATAATCGGTTATTTATTACAAATCAAACTTATGTCGATGAAAGAATGACTATAACAATGATAACAAGGCGATTGTTTCATTTCAAAGCAAGTACAACCATTGAAAACATACACAACTAAGTTAACAGGCGATTCTTATTTCAAGTAAAAAAACCATCGATTTTAAAACACGGGTGTAATTTTTTCCGAAACAACATATTTACATTTGATAAAAGTATGACGAGAACATCGTGTAAATGATTTGATTATAGCTTAAAACACTATATAAACGCACGATTAACTAGGCAATTACTTGATTGAAAAACAACATAGTTACGTTCAAAGAAAGTATGTATTCTAGAAAATGATTGTTGGCAATAAAGATATGAACTCAAAATAATCCATTATTTATTACTAATATAATTATTAGAATTCTGTCGATAAAGTATGACCAGAACATTTCAAAACGCACTGAGCGTAGAACAGTGAACGAGATTCGCTTTTCGTTATTTGCGATGGTAGTCTACCCACGGAACAGTAGCTGTGCTTACGTAAGCATAGCGGGTAAAGAATGGCCGTGTACGGAAGGATTTCAGTAGCCATTTCGGTGTGAAACTGATGTCTATAGGCGGTTCAAAGGTACAGAAATGCCGCGATCAGAGCTGACGCTCGCGGCCTACAGGAGGTGGGAAACCCCCTGCTGCTGTCTAGCACTGGCCATGTGGAGCTCGCGCGCGGATCAATGAACACAGGTAAAATCTTTATGCTGACTTTAATCCGACCGTGCTGACTTTTATCGGACCGTGCTGACTTTACGACAATGCTGAGTATAACCCAACCATGGTAATTTAAAGTGAATTTCAGTAAAAAGTCAGCATTGTTGGGTTATAGTCAGCATTATGGTTGGGTTATACTACCGTGATACGAGGATAGTCAGAATTTAGTAGTCACTAGTGAATTAAAGGGCCGACAATCGGACCTACATCACTTAACTTCCGGGTTATCGGGTCAAATTCAGGTGGAGGCGTGGCAAAGCACAACTGGTCGAGCCAGCGCGCACATTTGTACTGCGACTTCACACACAAGCAACTAATATGGTGAACCTTGGAGATATTTTCCCTGATTTTACAGCCGATTCGACAGAAGGCACTATCAAATTCCATGACAAAATAGCAAACTCGTAAGTATAGTATTCGTTTAGGCAGTATAAAAAACATATACAGGTGTATTATAACTTACCTGCCATTTTACCGGCGAGTTACATAAACCCGGATATTTTCGTACTCCGTGACCTCAGAACCGCGTTTTGCGTGATATGTGCATGAATTGAAATTGGTATCATGTCGTGGGATATCCGTTATTCTGCAGTAATGTTTCATGCATAGAAAATAATATTTTCGCACAAATATTTCAGGAAAGGAGGTACTTATCGTTTCATTGGAGGAAAAAAAATCTCATTCAAATCCAAGCAATGTTCATTTACAAAAAAAAAATGAAAAGAAGAATGTGGTATTAAAATGAAGAATGTGGTATTAAAATTAAGAATGTACGTGGTATTAAAATTAAGTATGTGCATGGTATTTATAATAATTTTATTTTTTATTTGTGTCGCGTGGTTATAACAGTGTTATTTCAGAGTACTATTATTAAAACTTTTGGAACTTTCCTGTATCCTCTCGCTTCCTTTCAACAAACTCTGAGTTGTTCTCATACTTATGAGATTTTTTTGCATATGGCACCCTTGAAATTCCAGGGAGGCAGCGAACATTTTGGTGACTTATGTATTATGTTATTTGTGTATAACATGCGGGCTGAAGGCACCCATGCAGCCTCTGACCACGCTCAACATTAGTGTATTGAGCTTACAATTGATTGCCATTAAGGCAGTGTTTCCGCGTTATATTCCTTGGCTGTTGCATCAACCAGGTTGGGCACAACGGCGCATATGGGTAATAATCCAGCATTTGGGTAACATCTTTGTATGTTATGGTTGAATGCACTTCGAATCTACTTTCACTATCCTATATAAAAAATCAAAATTTTGTAGGATGTGTATACAGTTGAATGCACTAAACATGATCACTTTCCTATACATTTTTGGATTTTACTTTTGATATTAAAGTTGCTATTCCGTCATCGCGTATTGCAGAGTTAACTTCTCTTGTGAGCAGGTTTTGATTTTTACGTCATTTGTTTGTGAGAGTAATGTCATCAATTTTTGAGACTCGAAAACCAATGACGTAACAATCATTACCTGCTCACAAGAGAAGATAACTCTGCAATACGCGAAGACGGAATATATCAATTGATTACTGTTAACAAGTTATGGTTGAACTTGGAGATTCACTGACTTAAATGTGCATTATAATATAGACAGTAACAAGCTACAACTTGTCTTATTTGTGGACAATTCTTTAAACCCGGCTGCAAAGAGTTCCTGTCAATATTGATATTTATTACAATATAATCTTTGGGTCATAAAAATACAGGATTTGCACAACATCATGAATCTGCAGTTTGTCATGCAAGTGTAGGATACACATATAGATATGTAAGCCTGGGAAATTCTTTTGGCAATAAAGTTATCAGAATGCAGTTTGCTTCCTAGTTAGAGATTAGTTTATAACCTTTCAGCGCAGACAGAGTACATTGACATTGCAGGTGCAATGACATAACTGTGTGTGTGTTCAAATTATGTAACACAAGGAGTATCACCTAGTTATAGACTTCATGCTTCGATGAACCTTAAAAGTACCTTGCAAATGAAAATCGTGTTTTACTAGAAGCTATAGCTAAATCTGAAAATTGGTGTTTCTTTTTATGTGTCTGCCAGTTTAGAGGAAGGAGGGACATATCGTGTTATCCTTGCACGCCTTGTTCTATCCCATCCTGTCCCCATGTGGTAATTCATTGTCATGACTAGACTAGTACTCGACCCACTTCATTTCTGCATAGATTTTCGTTAAAGTTTACACAAAAGTCAGGTGTGAGTATTATACCTTGAATGATTTACTATCTCCGGGTCCAAAGGTCAACTTCTAGGTCACTTGCTCTATACATGTCAGCCACAAAGCCAAGGGGCCGGACACATTCATGTCAAACAGACATTTTCTGGTTTTGTTCCAAATATTTTTATGTCTATCAATTCAGGCAGGAATTCATTTAAATCTCAAATTTTGGCTCCAATTATATATAGTACCTCAGCCTAATTAACGAGTAGGCTTTGTGTGATGTGTTTTCCCCAACCTAACTAATTACCTGGATGAATGTGTTTATTTAGTCTACCTTCATTAATTAGTGACCTACCTGGCTGGTGCTATCAGTCAAGCTCGACTTTTTTTCCAGAAAAAAATCTCAATCTAAAAAAAAAATCATTATTTTTATATATTTTTTTAAACCAAATAGTGCCTGGGCACTATACACGATTTTTTCATAATACAGGAATGTTAACAGTATATCTGTAGTTGGAGGCTGAAATTGCAAAAAAAAAAGCCATAGTACGCTTGTACCTGGATGATACACCTGGGTCAAAGGATCATCTACAATGATACACTTACATAATAGATAAGTTGACCCTAGTTAAGTAATAACAAATACAGCTGACCCAAGTTCAAGGAGTTATCTCTTTATCTGTTGCACATATCAAGATCTGTTTATATTGTGATAGGTGTATATTGATTCATCTTTCATCTATGTTAGCTCTAAGAAGGCCCAACTAAATTGAAGTTTTGTTTCCTGTTCTGTGAGCATGTATATAAATAGTTGAATAGGTTACTGGTATGAAACATTTTAAAATTTACTTTCTTCATTCTAAGCACTAAAGTAATATTGTCTTAACCCCCCACCCCCCTTCTTATAAATTGGTGGTGGTGGGGTAGTGGCGGTTGAGGATTTAGTGTTACCCTTATCCATCCTGTCTCATCAGTCTCATTGCAATTATCATGTTTTTTTTGGCTTCGTTTCCTCAACAGATTTTCGTCAAAGTTTATACAATGGTCAGTTATATGAGAATATATACCTGGGATATAAGTTCAAAGGGCTGCAACGATGCATTAACATGTCGATACGATACATATCAAGATACTGTGTTCACGTGTGATAAAGGAATAAAAGTCTCCAGGTGAAATTGCTCATGTCTGCTGACCCGGATCTCCTAACTTACAAATGTTTTATTTAAAGAACAGTGTCAACTTCCTGAATAAATCCCTTCAGTTGCTCTTTATCTTATTTTTATTTCACATCCAAATGTATGTGGTACAAAGTGTTACTTGAAGAAGAGATGATGTGTTAGGGATTGTCCCATGAGAAACACGATCTGTATGTATTTCATTACCCTGTTTAAATTTAAAGGTCCAACACTGGTTGTCCCTGACACCAGAAGTTGGACTCACGCCTACCTGCACACGAAGGTTAAAACTCCTAGACTTGTTTATATAAATCTGTATAAAATGGAAAAGTCTATCAGATACTACATACGTTGTGTATACATATATATAGGGGGTATATATACTGATCATGGTGTAAGACTAACTAAGCTTCCGTCTAGTCACAGATCTAGATCTAGAGCATTCATATATAGGGGGTATACATGCATACTGATCATGGTGTAAGACTAACTAAGCTGCCGTCTAGTCACAAATCTAGATCTAGAACATACATATATAGGGGGTAAGTACTGATCATGGTGTAAGATTAACTAAGCTTCCGTCTAGTCACAAATCTAGATCTAGAGCATACGTATATAGGGGGTATATACTGATCATGGGGTAAGACTAACTAAGCTTCCGTCTAGTCACAAATCTAGATCTAGAACATACATATATAGGGGGTACATACTGATCATGGTGTAAGACTAAATAAGCTTCCGTCTAGTCACAGATCTAGATCTAGAGCATTCATATATAGGGGGTATATACTGATCATGGTGTAAGACTAACTAAGCTTCCGTCTAGTCGCACATCTAGAGCATCCATATTTGTTAGAGTTTGATAAATAGCTTGTTGAATACTGTTGTTATTCCTGATGGATTCGTGTCTATACCAGTACACTGAGGTTGAAACTTATTTACTTGTATGAAATGGATAAGTATCTAAAATCCCATATATATGCTAGTGGTGTTGGAGAGAGTGGTTGGGCAGAGAATAAATGTGTGTGATTCTGACTAATTAAAGCTTCCATCTGGTAACAAAGCAACCATATATATATAGCAGATTTAAATGCAGACTGAACCAATATTAGAAAAAAATGAAAAACCACAAAAATGTGAACCCCATTATGTTTCAGGTACCCCGGCCGACCTTAGAATATACCTCCAACCGTGACAGTTTTATCTCATGATCATTCAAACACATTCTATCCAGTGTTGGGAAAACTTATCCACCGCATGCAAACACATTGATGGACAAACAAAGAAGGCAACTATATATAAGCCCCCTCTATTTCATAGGCAGGTATCAAAACCAAATCTAAAGCCCATAATATTATTTAAAAAAATGACATAAAAATATGCTTCGTGATGATTTTTGTAATTTTTGGCCGAAAATGGGTTCCCTCCAATTGTAACTATTTCATATTTATATGCCTAATTCACAAAATGAGACAACAAAGCCTTGAGGTACATATGTAGCGAAGGTAAACGTGAAACTACAGGTTAACATAGCAGATTGAAGGTAAACGTGAACTACAGGTTAACATAGCAGATTGAAGGTAAACGTGAACTACAGGTTAACATAGCAGATTGATACCAACTTGTACTATTTGGCATGTTTTACATGCCACCACTATATTCTACACCATTGTTCCAACAAAACCAGGGTAGCTATTTCTGTCATATACCAGCTACAGTACAGCAGTACGATGATCACTGAACCGTTGACACAAACATTTTTTGCTTGCCCTACTAGCTGGTAATCATATCAGTTACGCAGAAAATAGTTCAACAACGTCTGTTTATTATTACATAGAATTTTTCCTCATCATTCTGCAAAAAATGAGTCATCGGTCTGTTAGTTTATATGAATGTTGGCATTATACAATACATATTAGTCTAATGTTATTATGTCTTTCTGATTTGATTGGACCTGCCATCGTTTAAAGCTCACTTTACCCAAAGGGCCAAATATTAATGAAGTTTTGTTGTACAGTGGTACAGTATCAATGTGGCATCTGTCGTCCATATAT